AGTTGGCCTGCACCTTGCCGAGTCCGTCGGTGCCAAATTTGTGGCGATCGCGCCCATAGGCCCGCCACAAAACCGTGGACAGTGCGGCGGGGCGGGGGTCCCGGGCGGCACAGCACCCTCTCCATTAGTACTGCTCTGAAGAACTGGTACAGGCGCTCGGTGGGTCGGCGTGGAATCCATCATAGTGCACAATAAATTGCTGGAGTAGAGGCCCCCTTGACCTTACCCTCCGTCTCCATCATTGTTTTAATGGTTTCCAAAAACTCACCAATGCATGTTGAACCGAGCTCATCGGAACCGTCACTGCAGTCGTTTATACCATCACAGGTCCACGATGCGTAAACACATGAGCCATCGTGGCATTGGAAATATGTCGAAGAATCAGGGCACGTATCTGCATTAAACGAAAGAAATATTAACATACTGAGTAAAATGTAAAATATTCTTTTAGCAACACCGTAAATCAGGGAATCGTGATAAGTTTGGGCTTCCCTCTGCGCCGCAGACATTTCCAGGAGATCTCCTGGGACTCTTCCAGCTCCCCTGGGAAACGGAAAAAACTCCTGGGATTCCCAGGGCTTGTTTTTACCGTGTGTTGCCCAGTTACAGTCTAGTGTCATGTCCATGAAGCAAATTTCTAGTGCCGCAGCCCCCCCGCCGGACGCCTCAAATATATTTGAAACTCAGGTGTGTGACAGTCTAACACCAAATGGTGTGAGGAAAAATACCTCACACCAAACGGTGTGAGGCAAACATACCTCACACCAAATGGTGTGAGACTAGTTGTGCCTCACACCAAATGGTGTGAGACTCGTTGTGCCTCACACCAAATGGTGTGAGACTCGTTGTGCCTCACACCAAATGGAGTGATACTTTCATACCAAATGGTGTGAGACACAGAGGGTCTCACACCATTTGGTATGAGCCACAACTAGTCTCACACCATTTGGTGTGAGGTATGTTTGCCTCACACCGTTTGGTGTGAGGTATTTTGCCTAACACCATTTGGTGTTAGACTGTCTCACACCCGAGTTTCCAGAGTTTTTGGGGGTGGGGAGAGAGTTTCCTTTCTATTTTGCGGTTTTTATGCCTTTTCTACAACGTATAGATCACCATGGCAATTTTTAGCTTATTTTCGTCAAAAAAGACCCTCTAGCGCCTAAACAGTTGGAGATAGAGCAAAACGGACGAAATTTTCGTTCGAAGGGACCTACTTTCACGAGTTACCCCTTAGGAGAACTTAAAAAACAAGCAGGCCCGCCCTTCCGCCAAACAAAGTTGCCAGCTTCGCTTCGCTGCGCCGGCAACTCCGTTCGGCAGGGGCCGGGCCTGCTTGGCCTGCCTGCGGCGATGGTCGGGCCTGCGGCCTGACCATTTCTGTCACGCGATTTGCGGAAGAACATAATCAGATGATGTAACGGGCCTTCGGCTCACAAAGTCCGTCGTCCTTAAAATTTGCCCCGTAGACACGAGAAAGGGATGTAAGTTAACGGTTTAGGACCGCGACTACAACCCACCCTTTTGCTTAGAAAACGGTTTTTGGGGTGGGGGGGGGGAGTTTCTTTCCTCATTTGCGGTTTTGGGCCTTCTTCTACAATTATTGTTTACTACAGCAATTTTTAGCTTATTTTCGTCAAAAAAGACCCTCCAGCGCCTGAACGGTTCGAGATAGAGC